CAGCTGGGACCAGGGCTTCAGTTATGCTCAGAGTCTCTGTCTTTCTCTCCGAGACCTCAGGCTTCTCTTCTACTCTAGGCCAGATTCCTCCATGTGGCAGGAAGCAAAGCCCAGTGGCAACTCCCTGAATCTTCTGCCTCTAAACTGCTGTCTCAGACTCTGCTGCTGCCCTGGCGCTATGTTTCGGCCCATCTCTGAGGTCGCCTGCGTCTGGAGAATTGTTCTCCTATCCTTCCCAGGTTTTCTACCTCAAGGACATTCCCTGTCTGGGCTATGGGGTGGGATGGCAGATAGGGCAGTGCAAAAGAACAGGTGGTGAATGTGCCTAAGACTAACTCTCAGCCAAAGAGCAAGGGGAGCGGTGCATCAATACCATTTCCTCCTCTTCAGTGACTTCATAGTGGATTTTGTTCATGGGCCTCTGAGAGAGTCCCTGGCAGGGCTGACCACCTTTTACTATTGCTTTCTTCCTTTCTCTGTCTCAATTCCCTTTCTCCTACCATGCTTCCTTAATCAGCTCCTCCCAAAACAACCTGTACCCTTCCTTGTTTCAGAGTCTGCTTTTGGGAGAATCTAAACTAGGACGACCACCAAAGAATAACTGCTTCGGGTTTTCTTTATGACCCAGCACAAAAACCTTGCAGAAATTCCTAATTGGCCCTTCTGGGGCCAAGAGCGCGCCTGTGGGCCACTCAGCTGCGGCCATTGTGGTAAAGCTCTCATGACCAGCGTAGAGGGTGAAGCAGTCAGCATCCCAGACTGAGGGAGTGGACAGGAGGGGCAGGTCAAAGCCACAGGAAGACAGAATTTGCAAAAGGTAGGATATGTATTGGATGATGTGCTGGTTGAGTATATAAGATAAGGAGAATTTGCCTGTAAGGTAATGAGTTACATATTTTATAAAAAGTTTGTTCTGAATCCAGATTTTTTGGTAACTTTTCTTTAAAATAATTCAAACTTACAGAAAAGCTGTAAGAATAGTCAAGGAATTCTCATGTACCGATTATCCATATGTATATATTTTATAAATATATATATATGGTGAATGGTTATATTTAAAAAGTTTATTAAGTAAAGACACATTAATCCCCCTCAAAATACCCTGCCTCACTTCCATCCCACTCCTCCCATTTTTCTTGCCACTTTTGGAGTGTCTTTATGTATTTACACTGTCACGGCTGCCATCATGTCAAGAATTAAATTCTAAATGTCTACCTTTCATGGACAGTTTGACTTTGAGGAGGAGCCAGAACTCTCACAGAGCCAGATCGGTGAGTGAGGTGGATGAGGACACAGCATGGTGTTTTTAGGAGCTGCCCTGCTGTTGAATAATGCTTGGCAGTGGGATTGCCCATTTTAGATCACACAATGTAGACACTCGGGAAAGAGCACTTCCAGAACTGCTTCCGAAAGTGGCAGGAATGATGGCAAAGGTGGGCTGTGAGGTGGAGTATTAATGGAGATGTGTCTTTTATGGTTCTAAACTTTTATAAATTTAAACATTCACTGTATATTTTGATCACACCTGGTATATTTTAATATTTTTTAGTTTTAATTGACACAATAACTTCACATATTTCTAGGGTATAGTGTGATATTTCCATGCATGTATACAATGTGTACTGATCAGATCAGGGTAATTGTGTACCCATCACCTCAAACATTACCATTTCTTATGTTGGAACATTGGAAAACCTGCTGTCCTAGCTCTTTTGAAATAATGAACTATCGCCACCTATAGTTTTCTTCCCATACAGCAGAACCCTGGAAGTCACTCCTTTGTCCAGCTGCACCCCTGTATCTGTTAATGGACCTCCTCCCTTCACCTGTCCCCCACTTTTGCCCATTTTTAGTAGGAATTTTTCTCCTGTTGGATTGAGTTTTGCACATGTTCTAGATATCAGCCCCTTTACAGATGAATAGTTCATAGATATTTTCTTCCATTCTGTAGGTTGTCTCTTCACTCTGTTGCTTGTTTCCTTTGCTGGGCACAAACTTTGTTGTTGTTGTTGTTCTTTATTTTATTTTATTTCTACAAACTTTTTAATTTGATATGATTATATTTGTCAGTTATGCTCTTGTTGCCTAGGCTCTGTGGTCATATTAAAAACAAAAACCAAAACCTTATCTAGACCAATGTCCTGGAACATTTCCCTTGAATCTTTTGTCTAGTAATTTCATGGCTTAAATATTTAAGTCTTTGATTCATTTTGAGTTTATTTTTGAATATGATGAGAAATAGGGCTCTGGCTCCATTCTTCTGCTGATGAATACTCAATTTCCTCAGCACCATGTATTGAAGAGACTGTGATTTCTCCAGTGTATGTTCTTGGTGCCTTTGCAGAAAATCAGTTGTCTGTACACCTATGGACTATTTCTTTATTCTCTACCAATAGCTTATCTTTTGCCCTATTTGTTTTTGTAACTCCCCTTTTCCCTGGATATCTTTCTCTCTTTGGCTCTCTCTCTTTTTCTCCATATATATATGCAAGCATTTCCATATATGCAAATATACATTCATATTTTAATGAACCATTTGAGTGTATGTTACAGATGTCGTGAACCTTACCCCTAAATACTCAACTATGTATTTGTTGAGCACAAGGAATTCTCTTACCTAGTTTAAGTGCAGTAATACTAAGGAAACTTATTATTGATTTTATACTATTATTTAATATATAGCTCATATTTAAAAGTTAACAATTATTTCAGTAAGGTGCTTTATGTGACTATTTTATTCCAGTCCAAGATCCAACCCAACAGCAAACATTACATTTAATTATCATCTTGTTATTCCCCTTTAATCTGCAACACTTTCCTCAATCTTTCTTTGACCTTGGCATTTTTGAAGCATACAAGCCAGGTATTTTATGGAATGTCCCTCAAGTATGAAACCTATATATATATATATATAGTGGGGTTTTTTTTTGGTACCGGGGATCGAACTCAGGACCTTGCGCTTGCGAGGCAGGCACAGTGCCACTGAGCTAAATCCCTGGCCTGAAACCAATATATTAATATTAATATTAACTAGTAAGTACATGAGAAGTAGAGAGAGAAGTAGCAGTGAGTGGGCCCCACATAGAGTGCTGACAATCATTTCATTAACTTTGAGGTGGTTTCCACTCCACCTCCTCTCTGGATGTGAGTGGAACAAAACATGAGGCCGGAGGTTCAAGGATCTCAGGTAGGCAATGCAGTGTTATTGGCTCACGTGGATGCAATCAGTGCCAGTGATGAATTCCTCGTGTTATCCTTTTTTAAAAATCTTACTATTCAAAGGTGGCCTCTGACCAAAACTTCTCTGCAGCAAGTAGGTATGTTGCACATATCGTGGAAATTTATAGATGCGTGGAGCTAGAGGTTATTTAGTGCATTCTATATATCAATGGCTTAGATTTACTGAGCTTAAGAAACATGGCTGTAGTAGTCAGTGGAAAGCCAGGAGTGGATTCCCCGTCATCCTGATGCCCTGCACAGTGCTCATTTTTCCTTTGCTCTGTGATCAAAACTAGTGACTCATGTAGCTGTCATCTTGCTTCCCATTGTGACGATGGGAAATCTAGTTTCCAATGTATTTGATCAATCTCATTATCAGACATATGAAACTCTACAAGGAAGTTCTCATCAGAAGGGCTACTACTCAAGGAGTGCCACTCAAATGATGCAGCTCTTTTCTACCTCAAGCATTTATTCTGCGGTTCCAGTAGAAATACCTCCATGGGACTGGATAAAGAAGATGTGTTTTTTTTATAAAATGGAGTACTACTCAGCCATAAAAATGAGAAATTAGAGACATTTAAGGCTAAATGAATGCACATTGAGGTGATACTCTTAAGTGAAATAAATAGGACACATGTGTAAATACCGAGTAGTTTCTCTGGTGTGAGAAACTGAAAGTGTAAATAAGGACTAAAAGGTATAACAGATAATGTGAAATAGGAAGAAAAGGGGCAAAGGGGAAGGGGAAGTGGGAGGGGTAGGGCAAAGGAAAGAAGGAAATGGAATCAATATGAGAAAATGAAAAAATGGAAACAAAGTCTCAGTAAATAGGGAGGGACGGAGAGGGTGAAGGGAGGGCAGGGGAATGGAGAAAAAATAAGAACCAAGAGAGATTATGTAAAGGTGCAAACTTCCAATGATGAATGTCATATTGTATACCTAAAATGTACCAATAAAATTAATTTTAAAAATTCATTATATATTCCAAGTGTACTAAGAAAATGATCTAAAACATTTCAAAGTGCTACATATATATGCATTACAGTGTGGCTTGTAAATATGTAAATTATGTCAATTTAAAGTGAAAGTAAAGAAATTAAAAATATAACTATCATGCTGTTGGTGACCACTCTGAGTCACATCTGGAAGCAGTTTCTGGAAAAAAAAAGGAAATACCTCCATAGCAACTGTTTTAATATACTAACTCATGATGATTAAGTTTTTACATAACAGCTATTGCTTTTAATTAGAAAAAAGTGGTCTGCATTGGTTTGAGAACAATGCATTGCAGTGGGCTGAGGACTGTTCCTCTCGTCAGCATCAAAGCTAGTTTCACACCCAGCTGTCCTTCAGGAGGGAGGAGTGGGTGCAGGGATTTCTGGTATGGTGGAAGAGCATGTGCTGCAGAGTCGGTCGGACGGAATCTCCCCTTCTCCATCTGTCAGCCCTAGCACTATGGCCGGGGCAAGTTAAGCAGCCATTCTTCAGCTCCCTCGTCTGTGTGGTGGGAGGGAGAATATCAGTTATTTGACTCTCCGTGGGACTGTGGGTGTGCATTCTTAGGGTGACAGAGAACGTGTCTGATGTGTCAATGCTCGACGTATTGTTTTAGCAGTGATGCCACGTCCCGTGCTACGAGGAGGTGGTAAGAAGCATCGCCGTAGGGAGAGGCAGCTGACTCCCTGCAAATTGCTAAAATTGTGCAGGGCTATCATAGCCAATGCACGCAGTTACTCCTGAAGCCCGGTTTTTTCTGAGTTTGGATTAGCAGTTAGCAACAGAATGGTTCTCCTTGCAGCCCCATTTCTCTGGCTGCTTAGTTTCTTTTTTGTGTTGTTGTTAAAAAAAACTTCTTTCACTCTTCAAAACTTCCCCAGATTTTTGTTTTCACATGCTTTTCCAGCATGAAAATGTTTCATTACCCTTGGGTGGTCATTGCTCTGTTTATGTACCCTGCTTCTTTCTTATTTCAAAATGTGCCCTACGTGTCCACAGTACATTATTGAAGCTATGCATACTAAAAGGATTTCTTGAAGTGCAAAGTCATCTCTAGGCCATTTGTTTTCCTATTGGTTTTCTCACCTTTAAAGCAAATTGGTAAAATAAACTTCAGTCTTTCTTACCCTTGTTTCTTCCTAGGCTAGGGTCAGTAGTATCAAGCTCGGCATGAATTACCAAGCCCTGAAAGTGAGACTATAATGGAAACTGCAATTGAAGCACGCAGCGACAGCACTGCGGATGGAAAGCTATGATACAGCCATGGTCACCCCTCAGTGAGTTTCTGTTTTCCAGCTCCACAGACTCCCACCTCTCTCCTTGTCTCTTCCTTTGTGAACACAAAAGAGACACAATGTATTAGCCGTGATCTGCATGGATCAGCTGCTTTTGAGTTTGACAATTTTCTTGGAAAAATGTCTTAAAAGCAATTTGCCCAGCACATGATGGTCATAGGATTGCCAGCTGGGGAAGAGCAAGGTGATCTCCCATCTAAGCCCCCTCCCTGGTGCAGCAGGCTTTCCTTCCAGCGTCTCCGACAGATGGCCAACTGGACTCTCCCTCATTCCAAACAGAAATAAGTCATTGTAGGAAAAAAGTGATTTTCCTGTATCTTGGGTTCTGCAGTCTTTTCCACTGCATTTTAATCACACTTTCCCAGCAACAGGCAATGTAAAGTGAAAGCAAATAGGACACTGTATTAAACATACATGCGCAATATGAAGTGAAAATGTGGGGAGGCTGCCAGGCCTGACAATGAGCCCTGGGCCTTTTACACGCGCCGGTCACCTGCTGTCTCGGAGCCGTGCCTCGGAGCCAGGTGTGATGTGTGTGTCTGCAGGAAGCCCTAAATCAGGGGGCATGGTTAGGTTCTCTCCACTGCTGCCTTTATTTCAGAAAGAGCCCAGCAGGTGAAGGCAAAGCTGCAACAGCTGAAAATAGAACCCAGTATGATAGAAGGTCGATTGTGGGTGGCATATTGGAAGCTTTGTGTCTTGCTGGTCTTAGGGAGCAGTGAATTCTCTTTTCTGCCTGACTTTTTAATCTGTCCTTTGGGAGAAGCTCTAACGATCAGTCCTGGTCTGACACTGAGCCTCCCAGCCCAAGTCTGGCTCACGTTGGCTGCGGTTTCTGCTGCTTCTCCCCAGGAGCGGTGTGGTGGCGGGCAAGGATCGCAGAGAACAGCTGTCCCACAGTAAACAAGGGTGGCTGAGATCAAGGCCGAGCTGCAGCATGTGGCGGGCCGTGGGGACCCAGCAGGGCTGCTGAAAATTGAATCCTTCCTCCTAGCTCCGACCCCATCAAATCTCAATCCGGAGTTCTTCGGGAGTTTGAGCTCTTCACTTTTCTTTTGCTTTGTACACTTGCTTCTGATTTTACCCATGGTAAGCCCAAGAAGGCTGAGGAGCAAAGAAGTGAATATTTCGGGAGTTTGCCTACCTTATGTTCACTGTTTATTATATGCCACTGGGTCAGGGCAGTGAGACATGAGGGTCAATGTATGTTTACTGGCTGCTGGAAATGACGGAAACACGAACTCCATGGCTGCAGCGGTGTGCTGTTTAATCATTCCCGCGCGCTGGTGTGGCCAGAGCAGCCTGCTGACTGGCCTCTACACAGTGCCCCTTTCGGGACCCTGTCAATCCCACTGAGTGGTGCTTGCTTCAGGTTGCTCCACCTTCTGAGCAGGGCAATTTTCTCCCTCAAAGTTTATGGACAAACCTTGGTGTGCCAAGCACTCTTGTAGGTTCTTTGGAAAATACCAAAAGCAACAGAAACACAAATTAATAGAGAGCTGTAAATATAACAAATAAAAGTTTGCTCTGTCATCCAGAGTGTGCTTGGTCTGTAGCAATGGATGTGCTACTCCTATGCCGAGGGCACCTGGACAGGTGCTGTCATGTGTTCAGGAAATAAAAGTCTTCTTCATATTTTTCTCGCTTTTGTCCTGAGAGCAGTAGCTATAATTCTACAGGTCCTAGTTAGTAAAGTAAGTGACGCAGCTGTGATAGAGAAACCACAGGGCTCTCAGGTATCAAAAGCAATGCTTGAATTAGGCAAAGCCTTCAGTCCCAGACATGACACGAACATGCTGTGGTTTGGCCTAAGTGGCCAGGGTGGCACATGTGGGGTCTGAGGGTGACTATGAACTCGTGACTATAACCAGGCTGCCAGCTCAGCCACTCTTTCAGGAAACAGTTGCGGAGCACTGACTGCCGGCCCGGTCCGGCTCCGGAGGCTGGAGATGTAAGAAGAAGCAGCAGAGCGGATTTTCTGTCCCTCAGTTCCCAGGACAGTGTGGCACAGTGGCTGATGCTGGTGCCGAAGTCAGAGGATCAGAGCTTCAGGCTGGGACATATCTGGATCCTGCTGCAGCAAATATTCACAGTATTTCTACAGACAGCCAGGACAGAGCTTTGAACAGGCGGTATGTAATCTAGAAAAGCCATATTTCTGTTTGGTGCTTATTAGACCTATTTGATGGTGTTCTTGTGATGACAATAATCGTGGTGATGTGTTTTTATTCCAGGTTCACCGAATCCAGCAGTGTGCTGGTCCTGGCTTACCAACCAGCTGCTTGGAAAAGAGCAGAAGTCCTCAGTTACAGGTTTGCTAACATCTGTAGTGTGAATACTCCTGTCCCCGCCAATGGCAAGCTGCCAGCAGGTCCTGCTGCCAGTGGGGCTGGGGAGGGGTGGGACAGGAAGAGATAAGCATAATTTTGATTCTGTACTGTGTGTGTGTGGTGCTGGGAGTTGAACACAGACCCTTAACATAGAGCTACATCCTCAGCCTCTTTCTAAGTTTTATTTTGAGACAAGGTCTTGCTAAGTTGCTAAGTTACCCAGGCTGGCCTTGAACTTGTGACCCTCCTGCCTCAGCCTCCCGGAGTGCTGGGATTACAGACCTTTGCCAAGTTCCTGGCTTCATTCTATGCATTTAAGCACAAAATCCAGAACATTGTTGTTACACTTAAATTTTAACTGCATGAATTATGAAAGAGTAAGCTAAGAATATGAGATGAGAATTTTATTTTTTGTGTAAGGGAAAACAACATAAACGAACATTTTAATATCTCACATCATCTTCCTAGCTTTTAATTATTTTATCAAAAGTAACAACAGAAAAAACAATGTGCATTTACTTAGAACATGTTCTTTAACATTCTTTATTATATACTGCAACAAATTAGACTATTTAAAAACAGACCATTTTCAACATAGCATTTTATGGCAATAAAACACTTTGCAAATCAATTTTATTGTTCCTCTCTGCAAGCTCAGGAGGTAATAGATATGAGTCCCCTAGTTTTGCAGACAAGGAAAGTAAGGCACAGAGAGCTCTTCAAACTTTCACACAGTGTGCTAATGGAAAAACTGGCATTAGGGCTTGAGCCCTGAACTCTCTTGGCCATAGTTAATTAGGTTATGTTTTCTGAAATGGGGATCCTTTACAAAGAGATTTTCTCTGGCTTTGGTCTGTACAGAGTCCCTGCCGGAAGGGCCATGGGAGAACCCCGTTTCCTACCAGCTTCCTGAAGCCTCCCACTCACCCTTACCACAGCTGCCTGGGTTGGAGGGAGGTGCTGGACCCAGGGATGGAAATCAGTAGGTCGGTCTGTGGCCTAAACATGACATACTCCTTCTCTCTAGAGTTCGAAATGAGGCAGGAAGAGAAAATCAGCATGGGACCTAAATGTTAAAGGCCATGCTCTAACCATACAGGAAGGCATGGTGGATTGTGGGTAAAGTTATGAGGGGGCAGAAATTATTAGTAGGAAGAGAGTTTGACTTCAAGAACATGCATAATTCTCAGTATGGAAGCCATACAAGGAAAATTAATCAGTGTTCAGGAAAAATAACTACACACCATGGGAGACAGACCACATAGCAAGAGAAATGGAGAGAAGTGATATCCCAGGGTTGCTCTGGTAGGACCAGCAGTTTTCTAGCTTCTGCCATGTATACACAAGAGCTGATCAAAATATGAGGTGAATGTTTAAGTTAAAAATAATTTATTAGAGTAAAAGGTGCAGTGCATTAATCCCCCCTCAAAACCCCCTTCCTGCTTTGAAAACCCTTATCCTATTGTTCTTGCCTCTTTCTGAAGCAGCTCTGGAAGTCCTCTTTCATGAGGGTCTTTACCAGCTGTGGCAAAACATATGGTGAATGCCGTTGCCGAGTGCCATCCAAGGGGAAGTCAGGCTGCTGCAGACATGATGCTGTCCTCATCCCCCTTAGTCACCGGATATGGCACTGTGTGACTCCTGGCTCTTCCCCAAAGTCCAAATGACTATGAAAGGGACACACTTTTAGTCATTTCAGGACATCGAGGGAGCCAGCACAGCACAACTAACAACTCACAAAAGAGGAATTCAGAGTGGTTTCAGAAAGTAGCAGAATGATGGGATAAGTGTGTTTGAAGCAAAAGGGAGTATTTTGTGTGTGGGGGTGGGGCAATGTGTCTTTTATTGTAATAAATTAAAAAGAACTTTGAGTGCTCACTGACTTTTTGAGCACTTTGTGTGCAGGTTCTGCTGCGTGGGGCAGGGGCTCCTCACTGGTGACTTAGCCCAAAGGGAGAAGCTGGAACAGGTGGCTCAGGAATGGAGCCTGGGGTGCACCCAGCCTCTTTGCTTTGCACGCCACCTTGCACGGCACTTGGACGCGTACTTTTATCCCCAACGTAGCATCGTGTGGCCTCCAGCTTCACCTCTATTTCCATGCTTGAAGAAAAAGCAAACAGCTGCAAGAAATGTGTTTTCCATACAGGAGGAATGTAAAACTTCCTCCAGAGGATGCTGCTGTGGTCCTCTTGACCTGGGCAGTGATGTAAACTCCCAGCAGCAAAAAGCTTAAGGACAGAACTTTGTCTGCACCCTTTTTCTTTAATTAGCTTAACATTGCTTTCCAGGATAGAACTGGGAGTCCAGTTAATAAAGAAGAGAGGGAAATGAGGCAACCAGCAGCGGCTGCCCAGTAGACTCGCTTGTACACCCAGCTCCACCACTGGATAGCCCGAGTGAGTCTTGAACAAAATTAGAAGCTGCAGAGAGGAAAGAGGCCTTGCTGGACATGGGGAAGGTACTCTGACCACCAGCCATCCCCATTTCACTGTTTCCCTCTGAGCAAATGTAGCTGAGTTGTCCAAAAGAGGGCTTCTTGTTTGAAAGCACTTTAAAAAAATCCAAACAATTGCTAAAAGCAAATGTGGATTTGTTAACAAGTCATGCCAAACTAACATCATTAAATTTTAAAAAATTCTGCTGAAAGGTAGGGAAATGCTGTAGAGACAGTGTCTTGACTTAGCAAAACACCAGATAAGCTCTCTTGATGTCATGGCAAAGAGACAGGGCAGTTTAACTTGATCTCTAAACCCAAAGTTGATCAAATGCATTTCCCCAGTATGTTGACAAATAGACTGACGTTAGCTGAGTAGGAAGTCCGGAGAGGTAAGCTCATGGACTCTGCCTTACTTGTCCTGATCAGTATCCCTGGGGGCGACTGGGAGAAGACACGGCAGGTCACAGCCCGAAGTTGGCAGGAGCTGCTAATGACGGCGATGGGAACCCAATTTGGGGGGGGGTCCGACCATCACAGGGACCGCCATTTGCTTCCCCACTCTTGGGGACCACTGTCTGGTGCTCTCTGCTTCCCAATGGCTGAACATGGTTTTTCCTCATGCTCCTTCCAGTTTTGGAGAGTTCATGGTGGAAGGGCAAGACCCGTCTCTGGCGCTTCAGCATGGGCGGAAGCAGAGGCCTTCGTTCTCTTATCCCACTCCAGCGAGACTTCCCCCCGGACCTCATCTGAGTCCATCCTGCCTCGGTCATCTGGGCTTCAGGTTTGCTAAATCCAGTCCTGGGTCCTCACTTTGCTGGACTTCTCGGCCAACTGATGCATCTGCTTGGGCTCTTCCACCCCATACACCGCCTTCCTGGGCTCTTGGATGGCCTTGGGTATCTTCCTCTCCCTGCACTGGCTGCTCCTCAGGTCCTCCTCTGTTGTACCTATCCTCTCTGTCTTTGAGGACTAGGTCTTGGGCTCCTTCGCCTCAGCTGTGTGCACTCCTTCTGGGTCTCACTGGTCCCTGATGGGTCCGACTGTCCTGCAGCCCACCTCTCTACTCCAGGCAGGAGTCCCGCTTGACCCTCTAGCGGGCTCCGCCAATAGCCTTCCTTGGCTCTGTCTCTAGCAGCCTAACTCTTCCAATTATCCAGTCCCAAATTTAGCAGTGAGTTGTGACTTCTCTCTCACACACACATCCTAGCACATCTGCCAGAGCTTCTCACTCTGCCCTCAAAATCACTGAGTTTCTGATCCTCCTCTTCCCCAGCGCCTCCCTGTCTGAGTTGCCTTGCTTTCTCGCGTCCTTCTCCTGCAGTGTGGCAATGATCCCCTGACTGGCCTTCTCTGCAGGAGGCAGGAGAGGGGCCCAGTCAAGTCTTGTCTCAAACGCACCCAGAGTGAGCTATTTAAACAAAGAGTGGGAACTTACTATTTATCACAATGCTCTCTGAATAGAAGACTGAATGAATAATGGCTGGTAAGCAAGTGACCACAACTTTAGACCGATTATTTTACTGACTCACAGTTTCCAAACAAGGCAGGTGTCGCCCCGCTGCCCACGGAGTAACGGTAAGAGTTACAGTTTGCGTACTTACTCCTTACTGTACACATGTTCATGACAAGGAGCGCTCAGGCACTGTGGTAAGGCTGGGGCTCCGTCCTGGTGACGAAGGAAAGGAAGGAGAGGTTAGATGAGTTTCCGGCTCACCAGCTAAGCTCTGGCAGAACCAGGATTCGAACTCAGGCAACTCAGAGCCTACACCTTGGCCACCGCCCTGGGGCTGGAGAGCACTAGGGCCAAGTGCCTGGCCCCAGAGACTTCTCCGACAGGAGGCTGGGGATGAGTGTTTTCCCCGGGAGGCCAGCACTCACGGGCAATGACAATTTTCCAGTGTGCAAAGGGATGGTGTAGAAGAGTAAGATTTTTATGTTGCTGTGGAGAGGAAGACCAGAGCTTGCAACAGAGGCAACACAGAGGGCTGACTTCAGCCTCACACAGAGCTGTTTTGTTAGAGTGCACGCATGTACTGCAGTCTGCTGTTCAAAGCGACCGCTCTACTGCACAGCTGGGGTGGCCCTCCCTTGGGCACAGGGTTCTCAGGTGGAAATTTGGACTTGATTTCTAAGCTGCAGCTCCTGCGATTCACCTGCCCTTTAGCTGGTGGCTTAGACACTAAGGACAGAGCAGGGAGGGGACAGGGAGACCGGAGTGGCTCACTAGCGTGGGAAAGAGAAGCAGTTCCCTCCCTTGCACAGGCAGCCTGGAGATGGGGAAGTGACCGCTTGCATTTCCTAAGTGTAGAGTTGTGATCCCACTACAGCTGCAGTGGGTTCCACTCACCCGGCATGGAGTTTGCCCCACTTTGGAAGCAGGGCATTGTTAGCTGGCTCACAGGCAAATGTGTCATTGCTCAGTCGGGAGGAAGTCTGATTAGACAAACCGTGTGGCTTGGTTGGCAAAGATCTCAGGACACACTTCCGACTCGCGGTGTGAAAAGTGGACATCTTGGAGGGTGAGCAGATGAGAAAGGGTCGGGGGGCTCGGGGGGGCTGGGAGAAGCTGAGAGAGCCAAACTCAAATCTGCCCGCTTGACAAGCAGCCCTGCGCCTGCTCTATTCCTTATCCATACTGAGTGGCTTCTTGGCAAGCAAGAAGCAGCCTAGCGCAGCCTGCAGTGTTTTGGGACCAGTCCGACCTCAGTTCAAATCCTGCCCCTGTCACTTGCTGGCTGAGACTTAGCTTTGGTGCATCTGTTAACACTTAGCTCCACAGGTTGTTTACACCATCAGCAGAGATCACACCATGGAAGCCAACTGTGCTTTGTTGCTTAAAAATAATAGTTCCTTCCCTTTTCCACATCCAGGGAAGGGAATCTGGTGGCACTGTGCTACCTAGAGAGCGACTGAGGAGCTATGACTGCTCCCTCAACTTCTGTCACCGCCTGGAGAGGAGACATGCAGCTTGAGCCAGGCAGTAACTCCAGCACATTGCTTCTTTCCTGGAGAAAGTCTGTCCAAGCCCTAACAAAGATGTCAGTTAAACTGAACCGTGAGTTCAGTGCCTGCTTGCTACATGCTGGTGCAAGCCTCGGATGTCACTGTGGACCCGTGATGCATGTTTCACGGACAGCGCTTGGGTTGTCATGTCCAGAGGCCATAACAAAGCTTAAGGATAGAGCAAGTAAACCCCACAGTTAGACCTGCCCGGTTCAAATCCTGCCTCCCTTGCTTAGTAATTCTGGGCAGCTTACTTACCTCTCTGTGCCTGGGTAACTTCAGCTGTGAAGTGGGCTATCTGTAGTACCTCTGAGTCAATCATATACTGTATGTGAAACCTCTAGAACAGAGCCGAATGGTACATACCATTCGGGTTTCACTGTTACTATTATTGGTGAAACTTTAAATGTTTTGATCACCCAGGGACAAGGGAGGTTGCTTTTTTCCCATTATAATTACTTAGCTTTTGTTTCTTTCCTTCAACCTCTCTTCCTTTGCTTCCTCCTTTCTCCTTCTCCCCTTTCCCTGTTGAAGCAGATGGTACCATGACCTCTTCTGGTACTCAGTGACACCAAAGTTATGTTAAGCCACGGTGAGTCCACTCATCAGTGCTAACAATATTTTGGAAGCTTGGCTTGCGGTGGGTTGAAACTTAGAGTGTGGGTCCCGGGAAGGGAGCTCCCTGCATCATTTTTTTAGAGAAGACAAAGAGGTCCTCTGCATTTCCCAAGGGCCACTTTGTCGTCTCTCGTCCCCGTGGACTAGGACAGTGACTTCCGTTCTGCAGACACTGCGTATCTTTACATTTGCTCTGTCCCACCAAAAGCACTGGCGGCAACCTTCTGTGAGCTGGTCTTGAGAATCATGAATAAGTGGACACATTTGCCAAATAACATAAGATCAGAAAGGGAAACACTTCTGTGAAACAGTAGGTGATACACGGACAAGCGTGGTACTGTGGTGCTTCGGAGCAGTGCAACCTCAGAGCTTGCTGTGTGTGTCTGTTTGTGCTGGGCATTTTAACTCACTAAGTCTATACCTCACTGCTGCATTTAACATAGCTGTGACTAATACTCATCTCTGCCCACCCAGTCAGTCCCTTGGACATTCTGTTTTTGCACATTGTGCTCTTGGGATGGTTCTTCAGCTACTTGGCTGGATTTGTCTTTTCTGTGAGTGTGTTGTTTGATGACATTGTACTGATTTTAAGTCTTTCTTGCTTTTATTGCCTGGATAATTAAAGAATCAGCTTTGTGCTATTTGGAGGGAACTGTTTGTAGAAGGGAAAGCATTTATCAGATATCCCCTCTGCAGATGCATCTTTTTTCTCTTAAATAATATAGGGACTAACTGATCTGGGGAGTCGCCCAGTGAGTAGATTGCTATTCTGGTACCTCTGGAATTGATAGCAGGCCTCACTGAATCATCTTCACAGTGACTTTTGGTTTATTTTTAGAGAAGACGCTGCTGTGGTTGTGTCAATCATTGCCCCTTCTCTTTATTTTGTCTACATCTGATCTGCAGGAACGCGGGACAGATGATCTGGGGCAGCTCATCTCCATTCTCCCCACGCCCAGTAGAAGCAGTGCTGTATCCCACAGGGCAACATGTGGGCTGGGGTCGCTTCCACTCCCCCTTCACACCAATCCCGTCTTTGTCTTACAGGACTGGTTTTCAAGCCTTAGAGCTGACAGTGGTGGAATAGATTTTGCTGGCTTTTGAAATGCTCTGTTGGTTCCTTACCACTTCTAGCTTTCAGGATGCCATGAGCACGATACTGAGCAATTAGATGCATTCTGAGATCTGCTCACTGGACTTGAAAAATCTCACACTTCTGTGATTCTTGGCAATGATCCCCGACTCATGGAACCCAGACTACCTGAGAAGCAAAACAGGATAATTTTAATGATAAAGTAGGATGTTAGAAAAATATACTTAATTTGGAAATGGGCTCCCAATTTCTAATCATGGTCCTCAGAAGAGATTCAGATGAGGCTAAGGAATGAAGTAGTACTACAAGGGGTGATCAAAATGTACAGCAAGTGTATAATTAAAATGGATTACGGAAACATGTACCCAAAAAAGGAAGGGGGTCAAGGGATCGGGGACAGTGGTGGGGGAAGAAAAGGTGAAAAAAGGAATTCAGATGTGTCTCACACATGCACCACCTCCAGACAAGGGATGTAAACATTACGCACTACACGCATGTACTAATAAAATGATAAAAATGAGCAGAATTCTACCTAATGGAATATAATGTCCATGGGGGCAGAGGATTTTTTTTCCTGTATTTTGGATTTGGTTTTGTTCTGCTTTGTTTACTGTTCAAGCCCTAGCACTGAAATAATATCTGATACACAATATGCAATTTTTAATAAACTATATGAATAAAGGAGAAAATAAATCAATGGGTTCAAAAAAGATACATTGCTATTAGTGCCCCTCAAAGTCCCTCCCCTCACTATTAACCCGCTTACCCTATGACTCTTGCCACTTTGTGCAGCAGCTCTGGAGTCCTCTTTCCTGAGGGTCTCTACCAGGTGTAAGCAAAAATATGGTGAACTCAGCTGCTGAGTGGCATCCAACGGAAAAGCAGGCTAGTAAAAACATCATGCTGCGTCCTCATCCACCTTGTTTAATACATCTGGTGCATGCAACTTCTGGCTCTTCCGCAAAGTCAAAATGACCATGAAAGCTAAATGTTTTGAATCAATCCAGGACATCAAGGTAGCCAGGACAGTGCAACTAGACACTCAGGAAAGAGGACTCCAGAGCTGC